GTCTTCGACCTGAAAAATCAGGGGTTAGGATTTGCACCCGGTCGAAAGAAACCTTGCTATCGCAAGAGTAACTCCAGCTAGCTTCGCTAGCTTTCGTGATTATTAGCATTAAGCTGGCTTTACGATTTAAAACCCTCAGAACCATCAGAGTGGCTCCCGTCTGCCTTCTGGTCCATGATCCCTCCCGTCTCCCGTCTTGGGGTCCGTTCCCGTACGGCGCAGTGTTCGTTCCGTTGCGCCGGACCGCAGACACTGGGGATGTGGACACGACGGCTGGACGGGACTCAGGCACTATCCAGGATCTCCAGACAGGATGGTCCAGGGCTCGGGCTGTAGGGGCTGTAGGGCTTGGATGGGGTCAGTGCCTGCAGACCATAGACCGAACTTACTTGTTCACGACTGGGGGAGATCCCCTCTACCAGCACCTGACTCAGGTCTCCGAAAATGGAGGCCTTCAATGCAGACTTCAAAGTCGCAGCTGGTGACCTGGCAGGTTTCAGGTCCTTGTACAGTTTGATCTCCTTATTTCTGCCACTCTCAGGTCATCATTGGACGCTTAGGACGCTGATGCTGCGCGTCATACCGACGGTTCATCAACCAAGCGTGCGTCCCATCCAAGTCGGTCCAAGTGCGTCCCATCCGATTCCTACATCCAAACCTCCGGACCCCGCTGAGTCCATGGACGCCCCCGAGACGTCCATCGCAGTGATGGTCGCCGCCGCAGCCGAGTGGAGGAGTTCGGGGTCCGACCGGGTCGAGCGAGTTCGGGGTCGTCCGGGCTTTGGCCGGGCATCTGTTTGAAGAGACATGGGACTTCCCTATCCCTGACACGACTAATAGGACTGCCATATGCCGAGAAACGGCCAGGGGTGGTGCCAGGGGTCTTTCTGGGGCGGCAGTCCGTCCTGGCAGTCCCAGACAGGTCGTGTATGGCAGAGTACGGAACTTGGAGGACCCCAACTTCCCCAAGTCCCTACTGAACCCCATCTATCTCTGGATGCGGAGAACAGAAGCAAGTCTTCATCCAACCAGAAAACGAAGGCTACAGGCTACTCGTCACAAGGGCATCGCTCCGTTAGCTCCGGGGCAAAATTCCGCGGGTTGAACCCCAAACCCCGCGGAGCCCGCGCCCGGCATCCGCGACATCGGATGTGCAGCTGCAGCGGGTGTCCGAGGGGCTGATGCCATGAGCTCAACCACTTGAAGCGATTCTCCAAGGCGTTCATCAACTCATCGAAGTTTTGGAAGAATTTGTACCTTGAGGGTGGTGTGTTTCGCCCCAATGGCCGATGAGAAGCAGGACCAACGTGGTGTGGTGAGGCTTGAAATGAAAGGAATTTGTACCTGCCCCGAGGATCCCGGACCCGCAAATACCCGCGTTTTGAGGGACCCCAAACCCCTGTTGTAGAGGCTTCAACCCCTGGATCTGGAGGGTCCCCTGGATCCTAAAGATAAAACCATGCCTTCCAGGGCTTAAAATGGGAACGACCTGACCTGCACTGACTATAGTGTAAAAGTCCGGAGTAAAACCAATGGTTCTTCGGGACAACGCGCGTCTCAAATTGGAGGGCCTGGAAGCCGTCCCCGTCCCCGTCCGGGCTCCCAGGAGCCGTTGGAGTCGTCGAACGACTTCTCTTCTCTTCAGCCGTTGGCTTTCGATCTGTCGCCAGCCAGTTCCACGGAACGGGGTGCCAACTAAACGAACAGAGAGGTGCCCCCTTCGGTCCCGCGGGTGCCCCTGTCACATCCACGGCCCGAGACGAGAAACACCACCCTGCTATCTCTTTCTATGGCTTTTGGCGAGTCCCAACTTCGGCGAGAAAGAACCTACATGTGACAGGAACACATATTATCTGACTTTGCTGTGCCCTTTCATTTTCTTGGATGTGTTGGGAACATACAATAGGGCTCCAACCACATGCTCAGAAGGTAGTTCGACACGCCTGGCACCTGCTCCAACCACCCTTCTGAGGACGTGTTGGGAACATCAGATGGTTCCTCTGAAAACTGCCCTGTTCTCCGAGCCTGTTGGACCTTTCGAAGGACAAGTGGTAACTGCCGAGCAGGAAAGAAGCTGCAGGAGCTGGTCGTAGGGAAGTGGAGAGTGGTGAAAGAATTTGCTAAGATCCATGAGGTTAGGGGTGCCCAGAACATCCACTCACTGGATGGGACTAAACACCACCCCTTTGTGACTGCTGGTATAAGGAATTCCTATTGTCATGTCATGTTGTACCGCTACCAGGACCTTCCAAGAGGTGTCCAAAAACCACTGGCCTTGGAAGGTCCTGCTAGTTCCAACTAATCGGACACGTTCACTCCTCCCGGCTGATTCCTCAGCCCCGGAAGCCCTGGTGACTGGTCTCACTGTTTGGACCCTTTTACCACCAAAGCTGGGAGCGTTTTGGGATCGCCTCACCTTCGCTTCCTGTTGCATATTGGGATCACCTCACCTGCAGCGGATTTTCCTCGTCCTCCCCAAGTCCCAACCAAAAGGCCGCAGTAAGTCGTCCTCGGGGAGGTCGAAGCGGCGCCTTGCCCCCCCACTGCCGCTTTGAGGCACGAGAACCACTTGGATGGATGGGTCAGTCAATAACATTGCTTTTCAGGCCCACTCTGTCAGCCACATTGACCAATCCTTGCCACCCGAATTCCAGGGCTCTCTCTAGCATGCGCTAGCCTCTTTTACGAGGTGATGGGTGTCCCAAAACCACCGGGCGATGTCGGAAGGTCGTACACTCGAGCCCTGACTTCGTAGTGTGAACACCACCTGTTTCGTCTTCTTGGGAGTGTAGAGTGTAGGCTCTGTTGCCATCCGCGTATCATATGATTCTTGGGAGTGTAGGCTCAAACGATGCACTCTTCACCTCCATTTGGCATCCGACCGCTCCGAAGCTCCGTTACCACCTGCACTTGAATAGAGGTGCCCCAGGGCCCCATCTGTTCGGATCCAAAAACCACCTGGCCCTACTGCCGGGTGCAACTCACGGAGCATCTGGTGCTGAAGAAGGGAACGAGCCCTCAACACCTGTTCGCAGTATCAAGACCGCCAAGTTATTCTCCAGGAGTCCTGACCCACCAGCTGATGTTGGACGACTTTCTCAGCATAACAACCATTGTTTTGCCTATAAGGATCTATATAATATATATATATATGGATTTTCACACTACAACACCAAGTCGTTGCCACTTCTAAATGGTCAATTCGTCCCACAGTCTTTCGCGGATGTTCCTTCACAACTCCTGGGCTTCACCTAGCCCCAGCCCTGTCCAGCTGTCGCATGCAGCAGCCGAATCGCACGAGGTCCCGAAGGCGCGCTTTCTCCGTCTCGGCCCCAAGAAGGAATGGGAGAGGCCGGAAGGAACTCGGGGGAGGCCCGTCGCGCGCGTGGAGCTTCTGCGCTGTTGGGATACAGCACCCATAGCACCCATAGACCCTGACTCTATGGAGGTCTTTTCGAAAGAAGCTGTAGTAATGCCCTCCAACCTAATAGCGATGCCCTCCAACCTAGTGATGCCCTCCAACCTAATAGCGATGGCCTCCAACCTAGTAGCGATGGCCTCCAACCTGGTAGCGATGGCCT